GTCATGTTTTTTTGTCTCCGCATTTTTTATGCTTTCTTGGTGCACCCCCTAGTGGTCTTTGTGCGCAGTCTTGTTCTAGTTGAGCCTTGATTGTTGTAGTTAATACTAGAGGGATTTGACCACCAGGCCGACTGGCTGTGTGAATCAGCTGTGTCTGCCGCGGAAAACTTCTGTCCTCTGGGGAGGTGCTAATCTAGCCTTTGCCTGAGGCGATCTGGCAAATGGCTCTGCGCAGGGCTTGGGCGGGGCGGGCTCAACAGGGCGGGCGGAGGGAGCGGTAATGGCCCCTCTCAGTCCCGTTCCCAGAGGCTCTGCTTCTCAGAACCCCCGGAACCGCTGCAAACCTCGGAGGGAAAGCTGCCTTCCAACTGATGCCAGACACTCCCGCTTCTCCCGTTTGGGTCCGAGTCCCCAGCGATTCGCCCGTATCTGGAGCTCAGAGTCTGAGACTCCCCCCTGACCGAAAACGACAACCGCGCTCTCAGCCACCAGCCCGCTTTGCGCGCGCACCTCCGCACCTGAGTTTTTTCCACACTGCGCCTCCTCTGAGCCTCGGTGTGCTGTTATTTTTCCTTCTAGTTGAAGAGTCTCTCCTCAGCCCAGCCTTCCGCGGTTCTGGGTGATGTCCGTTCCGTCTTTTAGTTGTATTTTTGAAGTGGTTGTTTGCGGCAGCAGTCTGCGGTGTTTACCTATGCCGCCATCTTGGTCTCTCCCTGTGTTGTAAAATTCTAAAATGCCATCTTAAATATTCTGTTGGAGAAAACATTGCTAAACTGTTCTCCTGCTCTATGGCATTTGTCTGTGGGAATATTTCACATCAGCATTTCAGAAGTGCTCTGCCTTACTACCTTGTTAAAATTGCTTTGATCTTTTAGGCCCCATCTGTACAAAAAATATTCATGGTGACAGTCGGTGTCATCTGTCAAGAAAATAGCTGCTGCTATGACCATGCACTTAGCCAGTTGATTCTGTGGAGACAGACTGTTAATACAGCCCCCAAATCATAAATCGATCATAAAATAGTTCATTTAATACATATTTATAGGCTCGTCTCAGGTTTTCATAATGGTTGTTGTGGCATAGAATTGCAAATGTTTCATAAAATGTAGGTACTTGTTGTCCTGGCCAGTGTGCTAAGTAGTTAGAGCACTGGCCCTCTCAAAGAACATTAGGCAAGTGTTAAATGACACCATTATTGTGTCTGTTTGCATCTGAAGGGTCAAGGGTTTGATTCCCAGTCAAGGGCATGTACCTGCATTGTGGGTTTGCTACCCACACCGGGTCAGGGCGTATGTGGGAGGCAACCAATTGATGTGTCTCTCTCACATTGATGTTTCTCTCTCTTTCACTCTCTCTTCCTCCCTCCCTACATTCCACACTCTCTCTTAAAAGCAATGGAAAAAAAAAATATCCTAGGGTGAGGATTAACAACAACAACAAAATTAGGTACTTGTTTTTTGGATGTGAGAAATCTTATACTGAACTTTGAGAATAAAACTGGGGGATCAATTCAATAAGAGTATAATTCCTCCTCTGATTTATAGGTTCATTCCCTATTGGTGTTGCTTAATCACAGTTTGCTGTCTGAAGGTAGGGTGGGCCTAAATGTAGTTACTGGGACTTTTCATAAAGTTAGCCCTGGAACATTCATTAATTGCCACAGTCATTAGTAAAAATATCATTTAAAATACACATTTAGCCGAAACCGGTTTGGCTCAGTGGATAGAGCATCGGCCTGCGGACTGAAAGGTCCCAGGTTCGATTCCAGTCAAGGGCATGTACCTTGGTTGCGGGCACATCCCCAGTGGGGAGTGTGCAGGAAGCAGCTGATCGATGTTTCTCTCTCATCGATGTTTCTAACTCTCTATCTCTCTCCTTTCCTCTCTGTAAAAACTCAATAAAATATATTTTAAAAAAATAAATAAATAAAATAAAATACACATTTAAATTGTATTTAAAATGTAAAGATATCTTGACAGAAAGTATGTTACTAATTTTGCAAATGAGGACGGTGGAAATTACTTTTTATAACCGAGATGTGACCAAACACTAAGTCTTTGGAGCAGATTGTAAGCTTCCGTGTTCTGACCCCTCCTCCCAAGAGAGATTGGCATTCTTAGGACTTAGACGCTCTTTTCCTCGTGGCAGGAAGGAGTGGTTGTCGGATGGGTAGTTCAGGTAGGTTTTATTGTTCTTTTACCTTCCTGATAATAACCAAGGGATTGCTGAAACAGCCTTTCCCGAGTACCTCTGAGCTGTGTGCTCTCTGACATTTGGACTTTGACACGTCTTCCAGGATAATACGTGTGTACTCATGCCAAGTCATTGCCCATCTAAAGTGCAGCACAAAGTGCTGGAGTGCTTGGTTCACAAACAGTCCTCAACGGGCCAGCTCTGCAGACGGGGCCCCTGAGGGAGGCCACTCTCTGCTTGCTTGCAGCCCAGCAGGTTCTCCGGGCTGAGGCTCCTCATCCTGGCATCTTCCCAAGGCTGTTTCTGTCCCGTCCTTGTGTTTGTATTCAGCTCTTTCCAGGTTCTGTTCACTCTCTGTCTCCCCCAGCAATGTGACCAATGCAACAAATATTTTATATGGTGGCTGCCACCGTTCTGGACATTGAGGCAACACAAAGGATGCCATCTGCCTTCTTGACTGACCAAGTCACCCGTTAGTTAAATACACAAGTAACCTGTTCAAGAAACTGTAATTTGTCTCTGATGATCGTTCACTCCCTTGGTTCCAGCTCAACTGAACGCCACCACATCCACCTTGACTTTAGAGCAAATGATGATCTTTTTTTCTATCAATAAATTTTGACATAATAAAGAATTCTCTAGTTAACTTAAAAGCTGGATCAGTGGGCCCAGGCTGGGAGGAATGATTCATAACTGATGTTTTTAGGTTTTTGCTATGGTCTTTGAGAATATTCCTGTTTAGACAATTTAGGGTTAGATATTTCTGCAGTGAGAAAAAGGCAATTGATAAAAAGGGAAGAAGGAAGAATTTATCTCAGAAATAAGTGAAATTAGCATAAGTGGCTGTTTGACCATTTATCATGGTGACCATTCACAATCATGGTGTCGTTTACATATTTTGAGCCTTGGATAGTCAAAAAGAAAATGTTGACTTATCAGTCAGTGCCAAAGACCAAGTATATAATAATGAAATGATACCTGTGGTGCCTTATAGAATTTTTTAAAATTTAAGATACTTAATTGATTCATTTTATATAAGGCCAATTTTTTTTAACACTTGCCTGATTTCTTTGCTGGTCTTGGAAATCCTCTGGTGGTAATTTTTTAAAATTATCCACTGGAGATTTTGCTCATGGATACCAAAAGTAGATGTCATGAAAATCTCTGGCCTATACTCCTGAATAAGTGACCACTGGAAGCATACAAACATTCTGAAATCAAACCTTCTAATTATTTTTTACCGATATTGTCTCAATTGTATTGTACACTTTATCGTCTTTTAAATAATACAGAGTGAAATTTTAACTTTTTTGAGGACTACATGCCTAGCACAAAGCCTTGGGTGTGGAAGGCATCTCGTGTGTTAGAAATCTGCCTTCCATTTCAATGTGAAGTGATACAGCGTTGTTTCAGGGACCGCTGACGCTCGAAGGTCTGTTTGCATCTGTACTAAGGATCCCAGTATATGTCTTTTTGTAATTGGTGATTATTGTATCTGCTTCCTCACTGTCTGATGCCACTGCTTAGGGCAAAGTGATTTAAACCACTTCTTCCACCCTTCAGATTTTCTCTCAGAAAAGCCAGAGCTGAAGATCACCAGAGGAGATGAGGCAACTACCTTTGAACATCAGTAACCTCATTTTTATACCCAGATCTCTCTGTAGACTCTCTGTCGAGCAAAGTTCTGGGGGCTCTGATACTAACTTGAGGGCCCTATACCTTTGTGTTTTATACCGATGTTTTTCTATACACGTTGTGTATAGAAATGTTTCAACTTTCCTTTTCCCTCAAAGCTCCTGACTCCAGCTTCAAAGATATGTTTCCCATGACATAGACAAGTTAGCTCATCTCTCTGTACCTCAGGCTTCTGATCTGTAAAATGGGGATGTCGATGCTACCTACCTTACAGAATTGTGGTGAGGACTGAGTTCATATTTGTAAAGTTCTTAGAGCAGTGATGCATAGTAAGGGTTAAATAATTTAGGAAAAAGAGTGCATGATCACTGGATACATGTTCTTTAAACTTTTTTTTTCTTTTCTTTAAACTTCTTAAAGGGAAGATCTGAGAAGATGCTCTGATATGGGGTGATTTATACTTCCTTTGCCGAGGTGGGAGTGGAGTGATGTGAGGAATTTGTATCTGAAACTGAACTGGAAGGCATTACCTACAATACCTGCAGGCAATGCTGGCTGTGAGCCTGGGTCCCAACTGGATGAAGCAATGAATGGAAAAATGTTCATAACGATTCCTGTGGGGCTCTTCACAGTAGTTTTAAAAGGAGACAAGAGAGAGAAACTAGAACTATATGGGGATGGAGGGGATAGGGGGCAACGCTTATACCAAGACTTAGCGGTTTTCTGTGTGCGAAGGCTGAACGAGTGCTTCTCAGAAGAGATGATACACACACACACTTTTTCTTAAACAGCCGTGTGGCTTATGCGTTATCTCAGCTTCTCCCGTGGAGAAGGGCACGGGCCACCTGCTTTGTTTAAGAAAGCAGACACCACCGTTGTGTGGCCTGTGCGAGGGGTGCTGGGCCTGGAGGTTTGGAACCCCTTCGTGTTGTCCCAGGTGCTCCCTGGGAGCCTGAGGCAGACACGCACTGCGTTCCTGCTTGTCTCCGCCTGACTGTGCGTGGACAGGGCAGGCCCTGGCATTCCTGGCACAGGGCTTGGCCGCCCCTTTCCTGTGATGGCTGCCCTTTGCCCCAGCTCCCTGGGCTGAGGCAGCTCAGCTGTAATTTGCTCTGAGGCTCCGGGGTGCAGCCCTGTCAAACCGCAGCGAGTGTTTATCCTGTAATCCGCAGACAAGAAGAAGGGAGGCAAATTCCAGCCTTTTAAGAAGTTGTTTGGCAAAAGGAAAAAGAAAGACACTTCGATTTCCCGGGAGGCGGAGGCAGGAAGGAAGAGCCACTCTCCCCAGAGCGTCAGCAATGGCACCTTCTCTTCTGATGAGGAGACCCTGGAGGACAGCCTAAGGTAACGACTCACCTTTCCTGTTTGTAGATCTCCTGTGGGGCCCGGGTGGGGAGTGGATCCCACAGGATGTGTTCCATCGCCTCCGGGAAGGTGGGAGACTTGCGGTGCTTGATGTGCCCTGTGGAGGAGTCGCCTTGGGGAGCTGGTAGAGGAGTGTGGCCTCGCGCCTTCCTCTTGCCGCCCTCGCTGATCGCTGGTCGTGGCAGGCAGCCTATAATGGGCTTGGCTCCACAAGTGTCCTTGGATGGAGGAAGACCTCCTTTCTATGTCTCATTGTTCTGCAAGGAGAAAGGTGGGTCCTAGATTAGATTTTGCACCCAGATCGAGGATGTGGGCTGCCCAGGCACAGGGTGGTCGCCCTTCCTACCCCTGGCCATCTCTAGCAACTTCCAGAACCTGTCTGCGTGCGATGCGCTTTCAAATTCTGTTCTTTGTTTTCTGTGTTCTTCTCTGCCTCTCCCCGTCTCTCTCAGAACAAACACAGGCGCTAAATCTGGCCGTGATAGCAGGGTCAGAAGGTCCGTTCTCACCTGAGTGCTGGGAATTGGAGTCGGAGTCAGAGCTGTTGCTGCTGACAGCTTAGAAGTCAGTCCCTCCGAGACGTGCCTGCCTTCCACTGGCACCAGGTGCCTGCCTCCAGCTGGCACTTGTCACTTTGTATGGAAGTCATTGATTTGCTTGGCTGTCTCTCTCACTTGACGGCTAGTGTCCAGGAAGTCAGGGACCAGGTTTTATTTGGCCTCATCTTAGGTGTTCAAAGGGTGTTTCCTATGAATGCCTGGCACTGATGTAGTTCAGCTGGACCTTGACTAACGTTTCCTTCTACATCGTTTCATTATAACATTGATGAGAAAAATGTGATTCCCCGCCGGGCCACTGTCTGCGTGGAGTTTGCACCTTCTCCCCAAGTCTATGTGGATTTTCTCTGGTTTCTAAGCCCCATCCCAAAGATGTGCACGTGAGTTGAGCTGGTGTGTCTACATTGTCCCAGGCTGAGTGTGGATGTGGGTGGAGTGTGGGTGTGGGTGTGAGTGTGAGTGGCCCTTCCAGGAAGGGCTGGGTCCTGCTTTGTGCCCTGAGCTTCAGGGATAGGCTCCAGCCACCTGTCACCATGAAATGGAGCAAATGGGTTGGAAAAGAATGATTTTACTCGTTTTTATTAGTCTTTTTTAAATGTATGTATAACTCACATTTATTTTAATGTTTAATATTAGAAGTGTTTGGGGACTTTATTTAGAAACTAGAGGCCCAATGCACGAAATTCATGCAAGGGGCTCAGCCCTTGCGGCCCCAGCTGCCTCAGCCCTCGCAGCCCTGCCCACTGGTCATTCAGGAAGGTCGTTCCAGAAGGTCAGTCTGCCGTCCAGTCTAATTAACATATTGCCTCTTTATTATACAAGAATTTAGTGATGTTTTTGTGACCAGAAATACGGATCTTAACTCTTTTTTGTAGCCACCTGTAGTAAAATTGGTTTCATTATGTGTTGTTTCACTTAAAGTTGCCATTTCTAAAAACCTATCGACAATACGATGTCCTGCTAGTGCACGTTGAAGTAATAGATGCTGTAATCTGTGATATTCTTACTGTATTTCAAAGACAGGGACAGAAGCATCCTCTGTGATGTGTGTCAGTGAGCAAATTCGAATAGACACCACAGTGGAGCACAAATTACAGAATCCGCAGGCAAGCCTTGTGCTGAAGCCCCACACGTGTTCACCGACAGTGCTTGTTGGTCTCAGTGCTGCCTCTCTTCCTGCACAGGCCATGTTTGCTTTCCATTGACTATAGTAAGAAAACTTGACTTTAAGTGGAGGAAATGATTTTACTGGAAAGTGAACACAGCTAGACTGACCTCACCCAGGCTGTTGGGATGTCAGTACGGATCCTTGTTGAGGATTGTCCAGGACGAATCCCTCAGTTGTAAATTAGGCATGTGAGCCTTTTTGCCTTTCAGTGTCAGAATGAGGTACAGATACCAAAATGGTACCAAATAGTTGTGCAGTGAAACATGGGACTGAGTCTAGAAAGCTCTCCTTTGTTGTGTTTTTTTTTGTGGGGGGAGGGGGAGTTAAATATAGTTTTATTGATTACAGAGAGGAAGGGAGAGGGAGAAAGAGCAACATCAGTGAAGAGAGAGAATCATTGATGGGTTGCCTCCTGCTCGCCCCCTACTGAGGGGGTCCTGCAACCTGGGCATGTGCCCTGACCAGGGATCGAACCGTGACCTCCTGGTTCATAGCCTGATGCTCAACCGCTGAGCTGGGCTACTCTTTGGGAGGATGGTCCTATGAAGACGCAGCTGGTCCTTTCCGTGGTTCTGCCAAGTCCCCGACCTCTTACTGAACTGTGCCTGGACCCTGCTTGTTCTCTTCTCACTCAGGTTCTGTTCCTTCACCCCGTGAAGTTTCCCTTAGGTTTGAGGTATCACAGAGTCTTGGAAAATTCCACACTGGATCAAACAGCTATAAAATACAGGTCATGTCACCTGTTCTTCTTATTGACTCTTGTTAAACCCACATTTGTGAGACAAATGCTATATTTAATTGACCCTTTTCTTTATAATGAAGCTGGAAGGATACGTTCTGGATAAAGAGTTTTCGAAAATGTCTCCTTACAAGTTTTAAAAATTAAAAAGGATGGGAATATAGAAGTCTTTTAAAACATGTATCCCCCTTTTCTTCTCAGCAATTGCCAATTGCCATTTAAGTCCACCCACAGAGTATTCATTGCTTACGGTACAGCTAAACTTCTGGTTATTTGTCCTGTTTACAGATGCAGAAGGTGAAAGGTGCTGTTTCCAATAATTCTCATTTTCAGTTCACAGCTCCGTCAGTGGGTGTGTTGCGTTGCATTGTGTAATGATTCACAACATTTCTGCGCCTTTTATTTGACGTCTCCAAAATGGGCCGCTCTCCCTAAAACACAAAATTCCGTTAACCTGGTGTTAGGTGGAGGTTCCCAGGAGGCGGATTTCAGCCCGACCTGAGGGAGGATTTCCTAATTGGGGAGGCTGAGTGTGTGCCAGCAGGGGCCGGGACTGATGAAGGGGAATTTCGGCACTGGTGGGAATTTAAAGGAGCTGAACTTTAACTCCGAAAAGCTGCAATTTTAGAAATGTCTCCATGGCCAAAAATAGCTCATTATTGATCTGCTCCTTCTGTCTGAAATTTCTCATTTCCTTTGGGCTCTTGCAGCATTCTATTCTTTCTCTAGGTTAGAAGCCTTCATTTTTCCTAGGCTGCTGCTTTTAAATTATACATGCCTGTGGGAAAAGCAAAACAGTAAAACATGACCCGTTTTTAACAACTTAATGTGACTTCCTTTATTAATTAAATACAACTACGTGGATGTTAAAAGGGGAGAAAGGGTCATTTTGGCGGACAGGTTTGGGAAATTCTGGGCCAAAACAAATTAAATAGGATCCTTTACATAGGACTTCAGAGAGCCTTCACTGTGCTGATTTACTCTGAGAATCTGCAAAAAGAATAGAGTATATAGCAGTGGTTCTCAACCTTGGCTGCACATTAGAATCACCTGGGAATCTTTTTAAAATCCTGATTTCTGGGCCTCATCCTCCGGAAATTCTGTTTCTTTGTTATGGGGTGGGCCCACAACATTAGTAACAAAGAAACACCGGGCTCAGGTGTTTTCCTGCCCTTAGCTGCCTGCCCAAGGCTCTCCTCCTCACTGGGACTCCACTTGTCCTGCTTCCAGTTTCTGCCTAACATGCAGCATTTACTGCCGTGCCATGCACAGCTATAGCAGTCTATGGTGAGTGCCAGCTGTAGGCCTCAGTGAGAACTAAAGGGGCTCCAAGGAGGGTGAGGGCACTCTGGGACTGGAGCTGTCAGAGAAGGGTCAGGAATGAGGAGCCTTGAGCTGGCTCCAGGAGATGGGCGGGATTTGGAGTGGCTAAGAGACAGGCACAGACATCTCAGATCCCGAATGGCCGCAGCAGAGACTTCCATGTTAGAATGAATATGGCAAATAGAATTGAAGGGAATTTCTGTAGCTTAATAAAGGGCAGCTACAAAAAATCCAGGGATACCGGTGATGTATTACAGAATTGTGCACCTGAAGCCTATTATAGTCTTACTAACCAATGCCAGCCCAATAAATTCAATAAAATAAGTTACTTAAGCATATACTCAAAAAAAAGAAATTAGAGAAGATTTAAATAGCCCTGGCCAGTTTTGCTCAATGGTTGATTCCTGGTCAAGGACAAGTACCTGGGTTGCAGGATCCCCGCCCTAGTTAGGGTGGGTGTGGGAGGCAACCAATCGATTGCCTCTCACATCTTGTTTCTCTCTTGCTCTCCCTTCCTCCCTCCCTTCTGCTCTCTCTCAAAAGAAAAAAATCAGTGGAAAAAATATCCTCAGGTGAAGATTAACAACAACAAAAAGAATCTAAGTAGATGGAAAGATATCTCATATTTATGGATCAGAAAACTTAATATTGTTAAGATGGCAATACTCTCCAAATTGATCTACAGATTCATTGGAATCCCTATCAAAACCTGCGTTGTCTGCAGAAATTTACAAGTGGGTCCTAAAATTCATATGGAAACGCAAGGGACCTAAAATAGCCGAAACAGTCTTGAAGGGCTCACACTTCCTGAGTTGAAAACTGGCTACGAAGCTACAGTAATTTAAATAATGTGATATAAGTTGCCCAGCCAGTGTTGCTCAGTGGTTGAGCATAGACTATGAACCAGGGGTCACAGTTCGATTTCCGGTCAGGGAACATGCCCAGGCTGCGGACCCAATAGGGAGCATGCAGGAGGCAGCCGATCAATGATTTTCTCTCATTATAGATGTTACTATCTCTCTCTTCCTCTCCCTTCCTCTCCCTTCCTCTCTGAAACCAATAAAAATGTACTGAAATAGTATGGTACTGACTATATAAATCAGTGGGTTTTAATTGAGAGTCCAGAAATAAATCTTTACACTTGTGGTCAGGTGATTTTCAATAAGAGTGCCAAGACAAGTCAGTGGATAAA